CTCCAGTAGCTAGAAGAATACTAAGGTCAACCCCTTTTTACAAGATCTGAATAGTTTCTCCCCAAACCATATCTGCCCGTACTCACAGAGATGATAGCTCCTTGCTCCACCCAACCACTTCCCTTCCCTAGGCACATAAACTAACATGTTCCAAAGATGGGGACTCAAAAGACCATTATCTTAATGCTCTTAATGATATTCCCAATTTGAACAAGATGTTATTTTCACTTCTGCAGGTAAATTGATCCTACCAGGGAGCTCAGCTACACTAACATCTCACAAAGACAAAAATGAGACAATGTTAAAAACAGAAACACCCTCAATATCCACTTAGCAACAAATTATGCAATTCCACCCGTTTGTGTATAAAATACAAACTACAAACATTTTAGTAGCACAAGTCATCTTCTCTCATGCTGTAGCTGTAAAATACAGCCTATGTACCATTTAACAGCAGTGTTAAAAGTTGAAATACATAATTTTTTAAAGGTTTTTATGAAGTTCAACGACAGTATTCCTAAAGTACAGAAACAGTGCATACAAAGTGCCTATATTTCTGTTTGCAAAATAACTCTTCCCCCAAACTGCCCATGCTTAAAACTTGATTCTGTTGATACACACCCCATTTAGTAAAGCAACCCAGAATTCCTGCAATTTTAGCAGCCAAGGTCTGCCAAAGCATAGACATAACTCTTCTATTTGGTGTCCATAGTATACTGCAAGGGATGCGGGTGGTGCTGTGGGTTAAACCACAGAGCCTAGGACTTGACGATCAGAAGGTCGGCAGTTCGAATCCCCGCAACGGGGTGAGCTCCCATTGCTCGGTCCCTGCTCCTGCCAACCTAGCAGTTCGAAAGCATGTCAAAGTGCAAGTAGATAAATAGGTACCGCTCCGGCGGGAAGGTAAATGGCGTTTCCGTGCGCTGCTCTGGTTCGCCAGAAGCGGCTTAGTCATGCTGGCCACATGACCCGGAAGCTGTACGCCGGCTCCCTCGGCCAATAAAGCGAGATGAGCGCCACAACCCCAGAGTTGGTCATGACTGGACCTAATGGTCAGGGGTCCCTTTACCTTTAGTATACTGCAAGAAATTCTCTCCTAAACTCACCTCTGTCAGTTTGAGACTGGACGCTGTGCCATTATCCCATTTATGCAAACAATCCTGATCCTTTGGTCACCTAAATCACACATCTAGCTGGCACTCATGATATGCAGCTGAAAATGTCTCCAGAATCAACAGCCATACAAGTGTCTGTTTCAGGAAGGGCACTGTGCCAATCTCTTTATGTAAACTGCCTGGTACACCTAGTACCCAGGCAGACATGGTGAAACACAGAGAATATAACTGTTTGAAAGCACAAAATTTTCGAACCCCTCCTACAAATGCCCATTCCAGAGAGGACACTCTGCCCCCTTTCCATTTGTAAAGGCAGCTCAGAATATCTTGCTCCTGGACTATCTTTGAGTGGCCACTATTGGGAAAGGTTAGCTTTGATTTATATAACCATTCAATGCTTAATCTCAGCTAGGGTGGGCGGCCTCGAGCAGCATTCAGGAAAAATGGGATTGACTTGTGGCAGTCCTGGGAAATAGCTGACATGGTGTGTGTGTGTGGGGGGGGGGTTATTTCATACTTATCTGCCTTCCATTTTATAACTCCACTTCTTCCACCAGCTCTATATTCACTTTGGGTGAGAAATTTAGATTGTGGTGCCTCCAGGCCATTAACTTTTATGTATATACAGAAGGTATCAGAAGCCAGCAGACAAGTGGTTCTCACCTTACTCTGAATTCTCTGCAAACCCCGCCCCCCCCTTATCTCTAGCCCTTGCCTGAAGATAGCATGAATCCCAAGGGGGATTACTCTTACAAGGTGACCTTTTATTTACACACACACACACAAAACCACCTTTTAAAAGGAACTCTCTCAAAACTTTAATCTAGTCAAAACTGTTAAAAACAAGTCAATAGTTAAAAACAGTAGGAACTAATATATTGAACCAGTGCAATCTTCATTACAATACATGGCAGGGGAAAAATGTTCTTAAGGTTGAAGAAAGAACAATGAGAAGACTATGAACACCTCCCAAGTAACAAGATTCCACAACTGATGGACCACTGCTAAAAAGATCGTGGATATATTGTATTGCCTATTTTTTCATCTTTTTAATAGCTTAATGTATATATTTCTATATGTTTTAGCCCATCCTGAACATTGGGGGTGGAATAGGCTTGAAATGTAAATAAAAATTTAATAATGTTTGCATTATATTTATTATTATTTCTCCACTTTTATATACTGCTTGATTATAAAATGTTTCACAAAAAGAGTAAGACAATAAAACTGACGGAATATGCATGTGCATTCAACTGTGTAATGGTATTTGATCACCCAGGAGATTGCAGTTGCAGAGATAAGAAAAGAAGAGTCATTCCGTTGTCTGGAGAGGTCACTTCCTGGTTCTCATGAAGAAGCCGTTTTCAACAAAGCCCATCAACAGAAGCGCGCAGTTGTATTGAGGCAGCATCAGATGTTAAAATTTTGTATCCCTAACAATTTTGCACCCAGGGCAACTGCCCCTGTGAGCCCACCCTGCCACGCTGCACCACTACTTCCAACTCTACAATTACCGGTATTTGATTCTATGAAACCATATATCATCTATGAGCTATGAATGGTGACTTACCGAAGGCTCAGTACTGTAAAGCTATTTCTGTTGCAGGTCTGGGACTACAAATGTAGAAGAACTGTCAATCACTAGTAGTCCCCACTAGTGGGGTCTGGTTGCCTTGAGGGGTCTCAAGTTCTACAGGACTGTTGTAGACATTTTACCATTGCCTAGATGGAACCATAGAAAAAAATCAAATACACTGTTTTCAGAAATGTCTTTACACCAGTGAAATCTCTAATAATGTAGGCATCATGCATTATGTACTGTCTGAAGTCAGGAATCTGTCAAAACAATTGCAGAGGAAGGATGTTTCGATGCCAGAAGCTGTCTCGCTGTTGTCAAGGCAGGATCATATTTCTGCTTCCAAAGCAGATGGTCTTGGAGCAGAGGTGACTAAGATGGCGCTGCCAAAGAAAATGTTTGCTGTACATAATGTTGAATTGAAATAACACAAAGCGGTTGCAGCCAATACATTATTCGGCAGGTTGGCAAACTGTAAATAAATGTGAACGATGTCAACAGGACTCCCAAAACTAAAATTCACTCTGAAAAATATTATGAAATACAATAACTTGGCTGGGTATATTATACCAAAGTCATTTCCTGTATTGTAAATCAGAAGTTAAGTATTAGCACAGACTTCATACATCTACAGCTATCATCTTATGCATATAGCTGTTTCTTATCAATGGCAGATACATTTTAATCATCATCCAAACAGTCTCCCAGGTGCCTTCTCCAGTGTTTTAAAATGTCATTCTTTAGTGGATGATGATATACAAAAATTCAGAACTGTAGCCAGATAAGCTAGGATGATTAAATTTTCTATACTTAACATTTTGTCCACAATTATATTTGCTGGGCAACATGAGAGTGGGGAGAGGGCTGTTGCACTCATGCCATGCTTGTGTGCATCCCATAGGCATCTGAGAACTAGATAGCCCTTTGGTCTGATCCAATACAGCTTGTTTTAAATTCCCGAGGCAGATAAGAAAAACACTGACTTTATTGCAGTCTTTGTAAAAAATGTTTTTTTCATGGCCCATGCTCTTCTGCTATTTGCACTACACCTTGGCTTGGATCCTACAAACATTTCTGCTTACCATTTTCATTTATTTGAAGTGCATTGATGTGTTTCAGAGAACTGCTACAAGGAACTGAGCTATGCATACTCCACTGTAGAAGCATAACTGAAATATCGATGGGCCTCATAAATATATATCTTGGGAAGAAAAATAGAATTATTGATCATGATCCAGGCATGCTTCCATGCTAAAAAAGTCTTTTGTGGATGTAGTTCCATAAGAGCCTGCTGAATGAAGCCAATGGCCCATCTAGTCCAGCATCCTGTTCTCATAGTGGCCAACCAGAAGCTGCTGGGAAACCACAAGCAGAATTTAAGTACAAGACCTTTATCTAGCTATCTGAGCTAGATTTGCAAAATGAGCTCTGAAAAGCTGCTCTGCTCCCATTCCTTTCACAGCAACATGATCTTAAGAAATCAGGCGAGGTTTTTCACAGCAGGGTGGTTGCTCAATTAAAATCGGCAACACTTTTTCTGAGCATTAGTTCAATTTTCATAATAGGTAGATGTTTCAAAGTGAAAACCAATACCATAATTATACAAAAAAACACAAAAATGAAGCCATAAGATAGTTTGAGAAATGCTTATTGGTATTTCAGTAATAAGTATATTATTGGAAACAATATAAAGTTCTAAGAAATGGCTTTTCACATTTCATGCAATGGCAAGTTTTCAACTTACTGTAGAGTAAAATCTAGATGTATTAAACCATTTGGGTTTTTTTAATGTGACATACTGTGCATACTATATCATTATGTAAGTTTAACCACAACCTTTTCAAAGTTTGTTTTTGTAAATTAGTCCAATCCTATGCATGTTTTTATTGATGGGTCTTGAATCTGAACCTGTTTTCTTCTGAGTTTAAGACAAAGTAAAAGCATATTATTGCTTCCATCAGTGCAGTCCTATTCCTGTTTACCTAGCAGAAAGACCCATTGAGTTCAAGAAGGCTTAAGGTAAGAATGTATAGGATTGCCCCCTAACTCCCTTTTCCCTTGAAAAAGGTTGCAGTCCTATACATATCTAGATATAAGCATCACTGAACCCAGTGGGCCTTCTGCTGCAAGGCTACAGCCTAGATTAATTGATTTCGCTGGGACTTATTTCCAAGTTAAACCACAGAGGGTTGGGCTTTATAGTTCTGATCACCTGATGCTGGCAAGCCTGTTCAGGTCTAATGCATATTGTGATAAATCACAGAAGGACTCCAAGGCAGAGGGGGAGAGAGATCTTGGCAGCAATAACATTTTAAAAGTAAAAAAGGACTTTAATGTTATTTGACTTTTTAAATGGTTGCTAAAGAACAACATGAAAAGAACATTATTTACATTTTGATCTTTGTAAAGGTCAAATGTTCTATTACAGAGTTACCAAATGAAAAGAGCTGAGGAAACAAATTTAAGAATGAAAGCAACTCTTTGTTTCACAGCAGCTAGACCATCTGCTGGGCTTCCTTAGATGGCTTTTGGTACAGAGGATGCAGTTTGGGTGGTTGCTGCTTGACAACTAAAGAGAAAAATGGATGAGTAAACACAACTGGCAAACAAGATATGAAAGACAGAAAAGATTATTTGCTGAACAAGGCTGCCAACTCTGAGAGTGCATATACAAAGGCATAATGAAAATAATAGATTAAATAAATAGCAATTGAAGCAGTAATTCCCATCTAGTCGTGTAGTAGGGAATTACAAGGGTAAAAAGACACAAGCCTCACATATAGCAAAAGGGACTCCAGACAAATTTGTATTAATGATAAGTTTCCATATCAGAACTTTTCTTTTGCGTTGGCAGTCAAAATATATTGTAAACCGCCAGATGATCCTCGGCTGAAGGGAAGTATGGGAATTTAATAAATAAACAAAACAAATATAGCAATGAGCTAATAATATTCTTGATCACAACAGCCAAAAATGTAGCAAAACCTATGTAAAATGCTTATACTTGAGGACATAGCTTGTGACAACTAGGATCTGTTACTATTCTGTGAGGATGAGCAAGAATAATTTTGAAAGTCTTTAAAGACTCTTTAAGTAGGATGGCCAGGTGCCTTCTGTATCTTTAATACTTGTGCAGAAGAGAGGATTTCAGCAAGTGTAACTTGCATACCAAGGTACCTTTACTGAAATCCCCTTTTCTACTCAGACTATTTAAAAGGGCAGGAATCCTGTCCTCTTTCAACAGGTCTCCTACCCTTTCAAACATGAGAGCACAGAAAAAAGAATTATGTGCCCATTCTTCCTCATACCCCCAAGAGAGTGAATATGTGCTACGGCAAAAAGGAAGGATATAACAGATGCATGTATCTTTCTTCACAAGAAGACCTTGAGAAGGGTGTGCAGACAGGAGGTAGGAATGAGGGATGTGCACAGTCACCCCAGGGCCCATATTTTCTCTCATTAGATATGATTCAGACTGTTATTGGTAAGATAGTAGTAGTAGAAAAATCCTGATGTCCTGGTTTTCGGGTGTAAAAATGTTGTTGGGTGAATTTTGGTGAATCAGGATGTAACAATCATCAATCCTTACAGATGATCAATACAGGCCAACAGCATGATTTATTCACTACACTGGAATACTACTTAGAATGAGGCATGCCCAAGCTCCATTAATATGCTGTGCAACTTCTTTCTGGGAAGTTACTTCAGTGTAGCAACAGAAGGGGTAACTTAGATCAGTGTTTCCCAACCGGTGTTCCGCGGCACACTAGTGTGCCGCGAGACGTTGCCTGGTGTGCCGTGGGAGGGAGGCGGGCGAGTCGGGCGGCGAGAGGCGGGGTGGCGGCGGCGAGGATCCGCGTCGAGCCGGGGGCAGCTCTGCGGTGGTGGTGCCAAGGTTTCTCTCTCCATTCTCCCCTCACACACACACACAGGAAATAACATAGGATCAGCTGACAGAACCCGGCCAATGGGGCGGCGGCGGGGCAGCGCGCGCAAAAGGGAGGAGCGCGAGACAGCGGACGAGGAGGAGGCCGGCATGTCCGGGCAGCAGCAGCAACAACAGCAGCAGCAACTCCCGGCGACGGCTCCTCAAGCCCCGGGCAACCCTACTCCCTCACCGGCCTCGGCCGCCCTCCTGCTCCACCCGCCGCCGCCTCCCCCGCCGCCGCCGGCCACCTCGGCCCCGCCGCCGCCCCTCCTCCGCCCGCTATCGCCGCCACCACCACAACAGCCGCCGCCGCCTCAGCTGGGCCTATGCCTGCCGGGAGCGGCGGCGGCAGCAGCAGCAGCAGCGCCCCGGCGCCCTTCCCTCACGGCGGCGACCCGGCCCTGAACGAGCAGGAGAAGGAGCTCAAGCGGCACCTCAAGCGGCTCTACCCGGCCGTGGACGAGCAGGAGACGCCGCTGCCGCGCTCCTGGAGCCCGAAGGACAAATTCAGCTACATCGGCCTCTCGCAGAACAACCTGCGCGTCCACTACAAAGGTAGAGGGATGGAGGGAGGGCGAGGCCGAGGCCACCGCCATCCCCAGGCCCCCTCCGCCTCTTCCTCCGAAAGGCAGGCTGAGAAACTCCCAGGGAAGCTCTGAACGTCTCCCCCGAAACCGTCGGGAGGCTTCGGTTGTTGCCTTTCTCCGCCGAGGTCGGTGGACCCCGAGCCTAGGCTTCCTTCCCGCACCCCGCTTTCCGAAGACCGCACACCAGTTGGGCCAGTACATATTCCCCTCCCGTGACTGGAGCGGAATAGCCCTTTCTCTTCTTCCCCAACCCTTGTCGTTGGAGGAGTCCCTCAGTCCCTCGCTTTGCTGCCTCCTCCCCCCCCCACCCCCAAAGCTTGGAGGTTCCCCGGCAAGGGGGAGGGAAAAAATTGAAACTTACACTTTCATGCGTCCCTCCCGGCGTGACGCTGCGCGCTGACGTCACGGGGCTGTAATGGTGGTGTGCCTCGAGATTTTTTTCATCAAACAAGTGTGCCTTTGCCCAAAAAAGGTTGGGAAACACTGACTTAGATGCATACAGCAGAATTAAAGCATGATACCCTGTATGTGACCTTGATGTAATTTCGGTGCCAGGCAAAGGCCTTGATATTTTCCCGGGCTGCTTAAGCTTCTGTAAATTGCTTTGACTTGAACTTGTTGCCCCATCTCATTTGTTTTGGCCCCACCCATTAACGGAGTGCACTGGCCCTCCTGCAAGGTTGGCCTAATGCAGGTACCCCCAAACTCCCTGACCACTGGTGCTGTTATCTAGGGATGATGGGAGTTGTAGTCCCAAAACATCTGGAGGGCCACGTTTGGGGATGCCTGGCCGAATGCCTTGCTCTGGACTCTCTGTGCTGCCAAGAGTGCCACCTGATTGCCTCTATAATTCCACAGCTTTTTATGTATACCAGTCTTTACCAACCTGGTGCCCTCCAGACATTTTGGATTACAATTCCCACCAACTCGCCCAGTTCTGTCAATCTAGGTTGCAATCCCACACTAATTTACCTGGGACTAAATCTCATTAAGGGACGCGGGTGGCGCTGTGGGTTAAACCACAGAGCCTAGGACTTGCCGATCAGAAGATCGGTGGTTCGAATCCCCGCAACGGGGTGAGCTCCCATTGCTGGGTCCCAGCTCCTGCCAACCTAGCAGTTTGAAAGCACGTCAAAGTGCAAGTAGATAAATAGGTACCACTCCGGCAGGAAGGTAAACGGCGTTTCCGTGCGCTGTTCTGGTTCGCCAGAAGCGGCTTAGTCATGCTGGCCACATGACTCGGAAGCTGTACGCCGGCTCCCTCGGCCAATAAACGAGATGAGCGCCACAACCCCAGAGCCGGTCACGACTGGACCTAAGGGTCAGGGGTCCCTTTACGTTTACTAAATCTCATTAAATTCAAGGGGACTTACTTTTGAGGAGACTCACATAGTATTCCATTGTTAGTATTTTAAAAGGGGAAAAACAACAACAGCTAAAGGATGGGGCAGGTCGCTATTATTATTATTATTATTATTATTATTATTATTATTATTATTATTTGATTAAATGTGTATACCGCCCTTCGTCTGACGATCTCAGGGCAGCTCACAGTACGAAGCGGCGAGTGTCCAGTGCGCACGCGCCGACCTTCCGCTGTTCCAGAGGGAGGAGCCGTCCTGGCGAGGCGCCTTTGGATCGGGGGTTTGGCGATCGGCTGCGATTCCTCGCCAGAGACGGAAGGAAGTCCCGAAGCCCGCACTCGACGCTCGCCGAGCTATCGATCTCTTTTTTCCCCAAAGCCACCCTTGCTGGTGCAGCCGCTCGTGGTGGTGTTCGGGAAGCAGCCGACATGGTGAGACGGGTGGGGATCGGGGGCCGGCGGGAGGGAGAGAGGGAGGGAGAGCCAGAAGGAGCCCGGGGAGAGATCGCGGGGAGGCTGCGTCTCCCTCGTCGGAGTAAGTGGGTGAGTCAGCACATCGGAGTGGTGGTTGTGTCTGGGCCCAGGTTGTGCCTCTTCTCCTGCCGCCTTCAGGAGCCTGAAGCCTCCCAGCGCTGCCTCCGCATCTCTTTGGCTGATCCCTCCGCCTTCTCCCTAAATCAATCTTTCCTGCATTCCCAAATCTTCTTTTTCGCGCCTCCGAGCCCCTTCCGCAAGAAAGGGGCAGCAGCAGCATCAATCCCTCCCGCACCGTTTGTTCAGATTTTTTTTCCATAAAAGAAGAAGATAATCCACCTTTCTCTAAGATGCAGGGACTATTATGGCTGACCCAACACCTCAACCCGATAATAATCTCAAATTCTCTCCTCCTTAACCGAAAGCGAAACTCCTTTCTCATCCCTTCGAAATCGCAGGCTTGTCAGGCAAGATAAAATGTCTGACAAGAAACTGGTTGCCGTCCAGTTTTTCTGTATAACCTCCAGAGGAAGCATATGTCCAGTTTGCACAAAGAGCGAATCATTCACCATTGCTCAATGATGCAGCATTTTATTCTGCTTCATGACTCCATTGTTCTCCTCTGTATGCCTTCTGGGTAGCGGGGGAGGACTTTTCTCAGGGTGAAAGTTGAACAGGTATGTATGTGGCTGTATCAAATATTTTAGATCCCCGGTGGTGCCAGTCTCCAGTTTTACTTCTTCCGGGTATTCTATGAGCAAGAGACATGTACTTCAGCATAACTTCTTGAATTAAATATAGGCCTTCATGTAGCCCTCACACGCACCTTCATATAATCAAATTTTAATCTGCAGATTTCTTGTTTAGAACACAGAAAAGTGTTCTGTTAAAATTTCATTCAAGTAGGAGTTTTGAATTTGGTTTAAAAATGCCAAAGTGCTTCAATGTCTTGTAGACCCTGAATGCAGTCCTTCAAAGAGAAGTGAAACCATTTGATTCAACATGGCTAGTGTGGGGCAGTTAATGCTGTAGAAAGCTGTTATTCTGCAGTTGTCTAGTAGTGTGTTGATTCATGCTTTGATCAGCCAAAAAAGGCATGATGTTGCTCTTACTGTAATCAAAAGTAAAACTTACCTTGATTTTAAGGAAGCAGGATTGTAGTGTTAGACTTCGGCCTTGTTTCTGTGCAGCATGTTCAGTATTGGGTTGCTAATCACGAATCATTTCTTTAAAGCTCTTCACCTTAAAATGTTCTTTCTTACCCCTAATCCATGATAACATGATTAGCCCATGTGCCTATGCTACTTACTGCACTGTTTGCAATAACTTTGAGTAATTCTAATCTCTTTCTTTCCCATACCTTACCTTATTTCTCCCTTCCTCCCTATGCCTAGCTTTGCATTCTGAGCTTCTTAGCAAACCTTAATAATTGTGAAGTGCCACATTTAAACAAACAAACCTTCTTCAGTCTTCTCTTGAAAGTAAAATTTGTCCCAGCCTGTATATTTTTGTGGCTACTGGCTGTACCTTCACTGCCATAGGTAATATGTCTTTGAACAGTTTCTGGGCATCACAAGTGGGCAGAGTGCTGTTGCACTCAGGTGTTGCTTGTGTGCTTCCCGTAGGCATCAGGTTGGCCACCGTGAGAACCGGATGCTAGAGTAGATGGGTCTTTGGCCTGAACCAACACGGCTGTTCTTATGTCTTACTTTAAAATGTTTTAAAGCATAATGTTGTACCTTTGTAGCTGATAATGCTACTCATGTTAATAGATTCTATTTTGTGCACTTTAGTTTCGCAACCAGTATGACAATGATGTCACCGTTTGGAGCCCTCAGGTATTATTATTTATTTATTTATTTTATTATTTTTCTCAACTCATTGCAGTGATTTGTACCTAACTTTAATAGCCAAAGGAATATGCTAGTAAACAGTTTTCCATATGAGTTTGATTGATTGCCTAGACATTGGGGAAAGTGCAATCATTTTTTTTTAAAGGGAAAGTTGTAAGAACTAGTGTGTACACAGTTACACCAATTCCTGTTTTGTGTGTGTGCATGTGCTGTTTGTGAATGAACAACAGAGATCCTTGCCAAATGGATAGTAATTCTTCAGGTACTTTATATTTTACTTGGTGTGAAAAGTATTTAGGGTTGCTTGGTCAGAACATAATTGTATCAATGTTCCAAACACTGTCTTGTGAAGCCATTGACTCCACTTGAACATAAAAAGGCATTTGTTATATTCCATTGGCTGGTAAATTATGGAATTATAAAAGGCATACGGAATGAAATATATCTGGCAGCCCAAAGTAAAAAGACTTCCTGGGAAGGTTGTGGTGCTGGGAGAGAATGCACATACAAGCCAAGCTGCAGCGCTTCACTATGTTAGTTCAGAAGTTCCTTGTTACTGTAACTTGGTGTGTATTTTTCCCCTCTCTGTCTCTTTCACCTTCCCAGTTGCAGTGGTGCCAGAAGGTTGCTTATTGCAGTATGCAGTATGATCAATGTACTTCTGGAGTCAGCACATTTTAAAAGAGGAACATTTTAATCTGTGTTTTCTTCTTTAGGGGCGAATTCATCAAATTGAATATGCAATGGAGGCTGTGAAGCAAGGCTCTGCAACTGTTGGACTCAAATCAAAGAACCATGCTGTTCTAGTTGCTTTAAAGGTAAACATTAGGGTAAAGCTTGGAGTTAATCCTTCCCCCCCTTTAAAATGAGAAGAGGATGCATGCAATTCTTTCCTACTATAATAATATGTCAGTGGTAAGAGGGACTATTGTATAGGGCAAGTATCTCTGGAAGTGTGGGTTTGAATCCCACCGCTGCCAAGCATCCTTGTAGCTGGTAGAGCTCAGTTGGTAGAGCAAGAGACTCTTAATTTCATGGTCGTGGGTTTGAGCCCTACGTTGGGGAAAAGATTTCTGCATTGCAGAGGGTTGGACTAGATGACTCTTGTGGTCCTGTCCAACTCTACAATGCTATGATTCTATAATATATCTGAACTCCTTTATTATACAATTGTAAGCCTAACTACCATGAAGTAAAGTACTGCATTCTAAATGCTCTGGAAATAATAGAACATAATGGTGCTTTTTCCTTTCTAAATACACTAAAGGTAAAGGTACCCCTGCCCGTACAGGCCAGTCTTGCCAGACTCTAGGGTTGTGCGCCCATCTCACTCAAGAGGCCGGGGGCCAGCGCTGTCCGGAGACACTTCCGGGTCACGTGGCCAGCGTGACATCGCTGCTCTGGCAAGCCAGAGCCGCACACGGAAACACCGTTTACCTTCCCGCTTGTAAGCGGTCCCTATTTATCTACTTGCACCCGGGGGTGCTTTCGAACTGCTAGGTTGGCAGGCGCTGGGACCGAGCAACGGGAGCGCACCCCGCCGCGGGGATTCGAACCACTGACCTTTCGATCAGCAAGCCCTAGGCGCTTAGGCTTTTACCCACAGCGCCACCCGCGTCCCTTTCTAAATACACTACCCACCATTAATCATTGCTGAGCTGCTGCCAGATAGACAGTACAAGCAGTGATGGTTTTAGGCGTGTCTGATATGTGCCAAAC